TATATATATATATATTATATGATAAATGTGTGCATTTTATATGTATAATACATAAATTTAATACATTAGGTTGATGCAAAAGCTTTATTTTGTCTGTTTCTATATTAAATTTAAAATAAAATCGAGTCCAAGATTTCTCTTTAAGAAAAAAATCTTTGTAAAGGCTATATAAAATCATCTTCAATTTGATCTGATAAGTACAACAAACTTTTGCACCATCCTAATTTTATACGATTTAACTTTTCTTACTTTTTGATTTACTATTGTCTAATAACAATCCAATTAGCAACAATATCATCAAAGAGAGAATCGTGATTAATGTTGGTTATCTTTTTCTCAATAGATGGTGCTGAATGCCTCTTAATGTTCTTAGCATCTAGCATGGCATCTGGCGTTCTCAAAGTATACAGACTATACAGTCACGCACGACGAGTGGCACGAGTTCTTCGGTGTGTACACGGTGTACGATTCCAGCTTCAGCTGCGGCTTCTTGCTTCTCGCATTACACGGGAATCGAGCAATCTGAAACACATCTAAAGCGAAAGAGAGAGAAAGAGAACGACAGCGCGTCCAAGTCTTGCTCGGCAATGCCTCACCCAGAATTGTCACGGGTGCCGTGGCGATCAGTCACGTTGCTTCGACGGCTGCGGGGATTCGCGATGTAGCCCTCCTCCTTCTCTCCCACCCCCCCTCTGCCAATCCGAGGAAAACATTCTCTCTCGCGTTGATATCGTTAGAATACCCCGATTACATCGATGCGTCGTCACGCAACATCATCGACGGGATCTCGCGCAACAACGGATCTGGACCGCCGTATCGAGTCACCTGCGAATACCTGCGTTCCTCTTCATAATCCTCATCACCGTCATTGTCATCTGCAAGAAGTGCCTTCTTTCGACCATCAGTCGGCCGCCCGATCACACGGAAGGCTGCAGCCGTGTATGTTTCATCTGTCCCGGCGATGAACGCGATGATCTTACCTATATACATCTTTACATAAGCCTGCATATACGCCTCGGTAAGTGGCAGTTTCAAACATGTATAATACTGTGTCTCTCCTAAAAGGAACAGACAGACATCCATAGATGAGTGGAAGGAAAAAGTGAGGATATAGAAACGGGTACAAGTTCATCGAGCTTCGATTTTGACGCTGCGGATACTTGAAAGCAATTTCTATTTCTGTTTATGTGTTGTGTGGCAGTAAAAAAAAATAAATCGTAGTAAAGTTATAATCGTGTAAAATTAAGATGGTGCAAAAGTTTGTAAGATTTTCTTCTAATACGCGTACTTGTAACATCGAAGGGATTTAATTTGCTTAATTTATATCGGTTTCGAATATCTATATCTTGATTCATTAAAAGAGTCGTAATTATAAAGTAACAAAATGTTAAACGATTGTGTTCTTATTCTCTAAAAAAAAAAAAATCTTGATACAGAAATCTCTCCTTGAAAAAATGGACGTAAAGTTATTTAAAACGATTGAAAATTGTACCGTTTATTTATTTATCTATTTTTTTTTTTTTCAAAGAATATAAATTTGTCAATAAATTATTATATATATATATATCTCTCTCTTTTTCTCTGAGAAACTTTAACATATTTAAAACATGATATTCTGAAAATATCTTGAAGCAGGATAATACATGGTTAAAAAAAATCATTTCATCCATAATTTATCTCTAAAAGTTGTAACTATTAATTGACTAAAAATTGGAATAGTGATCGAATATTACAACGAATATTATGTAGCACAAACACATACAAGGGTAGTTTCGATCGTCATCAATTTGCATATGAATCTTTGCAGAAGAGTGCGATAATGGATTCGGATTGCTAATCGCCCACAAGATTGTAACGTGTCGGCAAATTTTTGCGTCGAGTAAACAACGTGTATATTGTGATCGAGCGGTTTCGGATTGCATAATGGGTGGAGATGTATCGCCGTTATTATGATTGTGCTTAGACTCTAAATACGTATACATATAAGTATAAAAACTATAAATAAGTATATATCGTTAAATATCGTCGGACATATATCTAATTAAGAAGTGATAAATTAAGCCCAATATTTGCTTTGTTGAAACTTATTGTTACGTAGGTACGGTATTCATTGAAGTGAGATAATACGATAGTCTTTTCGTTAAAAGTGCATAATCTAACATGATAATCGAAATACTTGCAATAATAGTGACGAAAAAAAAAACAATTTCTTTACGCAAGTTTATCGAAATATTTCGTTATAATAACCTTAATTATAATGGTATCCAACAATTATATTAAGAAATTTAATAGAGAGGGAGATATATATATATATATGATTAACTCTTAAATACTCGCCAGATCAATTTTCATACAAGTAATTTTTTCTTTGTATTATATCCTCCCCCCTCCCTGGATATATCATTTCTTCTTCATTCATACACAGGAAATATATACGTAATAATAAATTTTTAAGACTTGGAAACTTGACAATAAAAGATTTTTATTGTTAAATTCTTAAATTTTAAAAACATAAAATTAAGTATTTATATATGTGTGTGGAGGGAGGAGGGGGGAACTGTATCAAGGGGGAAAGAGAAGTGTATATATACATATGTACCCAAAGAAAAAGGGGTAAGCATCTGCCGAAGGAGAGGAAAAGCATGTGTACATAACTTTGTTTCAAAAATGCAAGAATTCCCGGATTAAGTGAATAAGATATTTTTTATAAACCAATATAATCTGTGTTTATTTATATGGATATTGTGTGATTTTTCAGAAATGTATCAACTAATTACACATACAACAAAAATGCATCGCGATTGCTGAGACGCATCACGAGTGCAAGAAACAAACAAAAACCGTCGTCCGGGTGATCTGGATCAGACTGATAAACTTGGATACATAACCTAGAAGACATAATGTCCCAGCTAAATATCAGCACGGGTAAACGAGGCAGGGGGATAGCGAGTACCTCCGCATCGACGGTATCTGCGTTGAGCAGTTCCACTGATTTGGCAAGTCTCTTTGAGTGCCCCGTTTGTTTCGACTATGTGCTTCCACCGATCTTACAATGTCAGAGCGGTCATCTCGTTTGCACAAATTGCCGACCAAAACTCTCATGCTGCCCCACATGCAGGGGTCCGCTAGGTATGCACCTTTCTTTTTTTTACTAAGTCTATTATTGAGATTATTAGAGTCATATTTAACAAATAACCTGACAACGCACAGGTAACATCCGTAATCTGGCTATGGAAAAAGTAGCAAGTAATGTGATGTTCCCCTGTAAATATTCCACCAGTGGCTGCACAGTTTCACTTGTGCATACTGAAAAGGCAGACCATGAAGATGCATGCGAGTTCCGTCCATACAGTTGTCCTTGCCCGGGTGCATCCTGTAAATGGCAGGGATCGCTGGAACAAGTAATGTCTCATCTTATGATGAGCCACAAAAGTATTACAACCTTACAAGGTATTAAATTTTTGTCATTTGACTTTGCACTTTTCTTATAACTTTTTACATATTGTTTTTTGTGTTTTTCTCCAGGAGAAGACATTGTCTTTTTGGCAACTGATATTAATCTTCCTGGAGCTGTGGATTGGGTAATGATGCAATCCTGTTTTGGCCACCACTTTATGCTAGTGCTTGAGAAACAAGAGAAATATGATGGACATCAACAGTTTTTTGCGATTGTACAATTGATTGGTTCAAGGAAGCAAGCAGAGAACTTTGCTTACAGGTAATTAAACATTATAATTTATTGTATTTAATAAAAAACAACTTAGAGAATTTTAAATAAATAAATTCAATATCTGTGACATTTTCATATCTTACATTAGGGACTGTGACTTTTTTTAATTAAATAACTCTGCTTAACAGACTAGAATTGAATGGTCATAGAAGGCGTCTCACGTGGGAAGCAATGCCACGCTCTATTCACGAGGGTGTATCGTCTGCGATTTTAAATTCTGACTGCCTTGTATTTGACACCTCCATTGCCCAATTATTTGCTGACAATGGAAATCTAGGAATTAACGTTACAATTTCTATGGCCTGAGAAAAACCAGAAAAAGCAGTATAAAAAGAAGAGAAAACATAATTATGCAGTCATATCGAGCAGTCTTTTGGATTATGGGTGCGATAAAAATATTTGGGTGAGACTGCCCGTTATGCACTGTTAACAGTTTTTTTACGTTACCAGATGAATATTAGCAATACAAAGATGTTAGGAAATGTTTGGAGTATGTTGATGATATGCAGCGTTCAAATGCTCAGTACAGGATCGAAAAGCTTTAAAGTATATTTGTGTGTGTGATATTTATGGGTGTGACACTCACAAAAACAAATATAATAAACATCTTTTTAAAATATCCATGCTATGACTTTAAAGTTTTGATGCAGTATAATATCGAATTCCGAAAAACAAAAGTACCTGATATCCGCGGTATTGTCACATTATTCTTACTCATTTCGTGTATCAATTTTTCATTTATAATTCTCCAGGAAGATACTATATGCATTATTGAATTCTATTAACATCTTTTTTGGGTCTATATTTTAACACTTTCAAGACTTGGTATAGCAAATGCAAAAACATTTTTCCAGGCATAGCATTTCAGAAGTTCATTATGAATCTCGTCATGCGATTATTGCGTTTATTTGCCATTAATGTACATTTTTATATCGCTATTTATTTTTTCATTTATAAAGTTTACTTTCTTTTGTGTTTGTAAAATTCTCATTTATTTTGTTTCAGTTATTTTATCAATGCTTTTATACAGTATGTTTTAAATGTGGAGGTCAATCGCTCGGGAAGTGATTGGGGACCCAAAAACAAGAAAAAAGTTGGTATGAACACAGGTCAGGAAATGCGTTGTTTTCGAGTTATCGCCATTTTTATGTTGAAATTTCAAATTGTTTTGCTTTCGAACTTTTTGGCAAAATTGAAAGAAGAGAAGGTTTCGTACTTATTTATTTTTTTGTATTTATTTATTTTTTATAATTTTATTTGTATTTTTTTATTATGGTTTTTTTTTTATCCTGGGTAATGCTAAAGCAGCTCACAACTTTTATTTGACTTTAATTATGTTATAAAACTCATAAAAACCATCTCTTCTTTTAATTTTGACAAAAAAATTCGAAAGCAAAGCAATTTGAAATTTCAACATAAAAATAGCGATAACTCAAAAACAACGCATTTCCGGATCTGTTTTCATACCAACTTTTTTCTTGTTGTTTTTGGGTCCCCAATCACCTTTCGAGCGATTGACCTCCATATTTGAAACATTCTGTATATGTATATGCGTTTTGCATATGTGATAAATCTGGTTTTTGCATAGCATATTATTTGATTATTCGATATTATGATTATAGATACAATATTTTGAGATTATGCAAGCAGTGAAAGGGCAGATCAGTTTTTACAATTTAGTCTGAATATTAAAGCATGACGCTAACATTTTTACAACAATTACATTAATATGGTGAGGAGCAATATCCAATTACAGAAAAGTTTCTGTAAACAAGATAAAAAAAGAAATCGAAAGTGAGTAAAACAATTATATTAAAATTTAAAAGATATTTCTTTTTTCAATTTAAATTTTAATATATGTTGGGATACCTGCAAATATTAACACCACTACTATATACTTATTAGTATGAAATTAAACTGATCTTTTATTGATACAAGTGAGAGAAAAAAAGACATTGCTTTGTAATATCCAGTATCTATATATTGAATTGATTCTTAATTGATGTTTTCTTTTTATACAAATAACGTTTTAATGCTATTATAAATATAGCAATCAAACCACATTAGAATTTTCTTACAGCTTTAAAAACCTTTTTTATTGATTCTTATGATTCATGCTCTTTGAAATACATCAAATGCCTTTCTTTCTGCTATTATTATGCATAGCATTCATAAGTTTAAAAAAAAACAATGAAATATCTGTACTAAAAACAGAGCATTGAACTGAACTGCATAACAAAATCCAGAAAGACATATTAAGAGAATGAAGGGGAGAGGTTATGGGGAAGAGATTACTTTCTTCGGAAGGACAATTTAGACTGAAATGTAATTATATGACCCGAGTAGGCTAAGTCTATAACAATTATATATTTTTCATAGATCGAAAAATATACAAGTTTTACTTTCGCTAAGTGATTCATACAACGTGATCGCTGAAACAATTTTGTCAAAGGCTACTACGATATTGAATTAATATCGCCATCAATAAGTACTCAAATTATCGATCAGTTTAATGTCCTGTTATACATACAATCATGGAAGGAAAGAAGTTTGCGAATATAAACGGAAGCATTGTTATTGTAAATAAATCGCGGAAATTTATCATGTGATATAAGTAGTATGAATAATATAAATGATAATGTGCTGATATGTATTCACAATGTTGGAAATAATTCGAGGGAACCAAGTGCACAGTGTATACACACTGTATATGATTAGCATGTATTATTAAGCTTATACAATTATATTTACACACATCTATTACAAAAAAGCAAATATTTAATTTTAATAGATTGAAATAAAAAGCGTTCGAGCATTTTTGGCGGTTATCGGAAAAAAGTGAGCAAAAAAAATAAGGAAGTCGAAAGTTTTTTAAATTTTGATGTCTGTTATTCTGTATACCGAGACTGTAGAAGTATCTTCCCAATTTTTAGCGTAAAATGTAATTCTGCACTTGAAACTGCGAGAACCAATGCGTTCGAGAATCATCATATTAAGATTTTTATAGTAAGAATAGTTTGATTATGGATACTGCATAAATCATTATATGAGATTGGAAAGAATTACAAATACACGCTAGTTGTGATTTTTCTCTCTGTAGTGTAAACGCGGGATTATTAGATCATATACACTGGACGGGGAGAGCAGGATGATCTAATAATTTGAAAAGAACACATCACAATTGTTAAGCATTGTGTACATATGATAAGATTAACGATAGCATAATCCTTATTCTTTAACTAAGTAGTAATTTATTCTCTAGCATCATTCATGAGGGCTTCATTGCTGTTTTACTAAACTTGATCATAAGGAATACATCTTTTGTTTGATTCTTCATGAATGTTCTCTTCATTATTTCATTTATATTATCCTATTTATATTTTTATATCGAATTATATGATGTATAATATTCTTAAACAAGAGTAAAAACTATTTTAATTTCATTGTAGTTTGTGAACAAGGAATAACATAATGAGCTAGCTGATGGAATATAAAATGTTGAAAGTTTTGAAAATACGCTATTGCATAATATGATATTGAAAGACATAAATTAGCATCTCGTTTTTGAATGATTCTAACATATTTTTTTTTTCAAAGTTTATATGTAAGATTTATACTATAATATAATTTCGTCTCTTTCACTTAAAATTTAAAATTTTTAAAAATTAAGACTTGTGAGAAATATATATCAAAATATTTTAAAATTTATTACATCAGTATATTATATGGATAATGAAAAGTCTTATATTTAAAAGATTTTTCTGACGTATTCTTTGTACACGCTTTGAGCCACATTTATTGATATTAATGAATAATTATTTATATACGAGATCTGTATATTGCAACTGCAATACGAGGAATGATTTATACGTCCAAGCGTATTTGGCAAAAGCGTGACATATCTCAAATAAATCATAAATTCGAGTGAACGAGAGTGTAATGGGTTTATCTTGTTTGACAATTTGTATGGTACAATTATGAAATCGTGTAGACGAATAATAACTATAAATGCTCGATCTTTTAATGATGAATCTTTGGATTCTACACGATATCATAGAACAGCCTAAGGTGCTCATGTATCCGCAGAATATATAGTATAACTGTCGACAGAGAGAATAGCTTTATTTAAATATAATGTATATACTTATATATATGCATATTTATAGAATCTACAGAATGTTCATGCCATGTATAAAGAAAAGTATAAATAAAATTTTTTTATAAATATTTTTTCATTATATATACACAATATTGCTCTCTCCCTCTCTCTCTCTTTTTACATATTCACAAATTTTAAAATTTGTAATTAAGATAAAACATAATTTAAAGAAAATATAAAATAAAAGAAGATCCCCAGAGTAAATATATTGATATTATCAGATATGATCGCGTATATTCATAGAATTTTGTAAATTTCCAAAAAATAAGGACTTTCCCTTTAATCTATTCGATATGAAGAATTAATAAGATTTTATACAATAAGAATGTATAACAATTACAGTTATATGTATACGATGTAAAACCATATGGTTTTGCGCGTGTATGGTTAGCTTCGGAACAAACCACATGGCCACATGTCGATGCGCCGTATATATATGTGCTGCTCCACGAGTTATACTTTTTGGTTATACTAAACGCTCTCATAAATTTAAATTGTTTATTTACAACTCTCCTCTGCATCGATCTGTAAAAATGCGTTGGAAACTTCCAAAACCTTTTTTTTACGCTTCCGTGGCAGCGACTACTGCTGCCGTAGCATATTTGACAAAGTAATATGTTGCTTGAAACTCTTTTCAACATAATCTAAAAAAATTGACGATGTTTAATATTATTTAGAACTCTCTCCAATCACAATCAGCTTTTTATATTTACTTATATTCAGTTGTAAAACTTTGGACGTGAATATGAATAAATGAGTATTTATATATAATGTAACTAAAAGATATAAATAATAAAAACTACTTGCGTATCAATTTTTTTTTATTTTTGTATGATATATATTTCGCACTATGTCACATAATATTTTACCGTTATTTATGGCTATTTTATGATATAAGTGATAAAAGTAATTATATCAAAATTGCAGAGATTATATGGGAGGTACAAAATACACAGGCAAAGAGAGCTTAGTCAACAAAGTTGTTATTGTGACAGGAGCTAATACTGGTATTGGAAGGGAGACAGTCTTGGAATTAGCCAAACGTGATGCAAAAATTATTATGGCATGCAGAGATATGGAAAAATGCGAAAAGGTATTTATATTGTCATTAGTATCTTTTCAGTTTGCAAAAATAAGATATAAGATAAAATATAATAATTTGTATACATATATCTCTTATATAGAAGAGATATTATAGTTACAGCTATTTTTGTATCATTATTATTATAAATTACTATATAAAAATTTTGTATAATGATAATTTTTTCATTTTTGTACAGGCACGCCAAGATATTGTACTTGAGACGAAGAATAAGTATGTTTACTGTAGGAAATGTGACTTAGCATCGCAAGAAAGTATTAGAAAATTTGTCGAGCAGTTTAAGAACGGTAATTATTCACAACTATATTTATTTACAAATTTTTAACATTTTATCATATAAATGTTTACATATATCTCATTTGTATTGCAGAATATGATAAACTTCATATACTTATCAATAATGCTGGTGTAATGAGATGTTCAAAGAGTTATACCAAAGAAGGTATCGAGATGCAGCTTGGAGTCAATTATATAGGACATTTCTTGCTCACAAATTTACTTCTAGATGTTTTAAAAACATCCGCACCATCTAGAATTGTGAATGTATCGAGTGCCTCTTATTATAGAGGCCAAATAAATATGACAGATTTAAATAGCGATAAAGAGTACGATGCTGGTAACGCTTATACACAAAGTAAATTAGCCATAATTTTTTTCACTAGAGAATTGGCAAACAAATTGAGAGGTAATTTAATAATAATAATAAGTGCATAATTATCCCTTTATAGTATTTTGCTAAAATATAATTCTTACTTTTTCATTATTCAGGAACTGGCGTTACTGTAAATGCTGTTCATCCTGGTGTAGTGGATACGAATATAACGCGACATATGTTTGTATACAACAACTTCTTCACACGAATATTCCTGAAACCATTTGCTTGGCCGTTTATTAGAGCGCCTCTGCAAGGAGCGCAAACTGTTTTGTATGCAGCGTTAGATCCTAGTCTTACAGATGTTTCCGGCTGTTATTTCGAGTAAGTATCATTGAAGAAACTTAAAAAATGATAAATATAGCAAATAATGAATATAATATTAATATTATTATTTGATTTGTTGTAGCAATTGCGAAATTAAGGAAGTATCAGATGAAGCCAAAAACGATAACCTGGCAAAATGGCTATGGAAAGTCAGTGAAAAATGGACAAAATTAGATATGCAATTAAGGATACAATAAAGATATACAGTTGTATTGATCCTATTTTGTTTTTAATATAATATAAATTTTTAATAATTGAATTTTTATAATTTTTTTTTTTAAGTGAATAGAAGCGAAAACGCTTGCCGCGCAAGCGCAAAAGAACAATGCAGTAGCCAATCAACTCTTCGCTCTTACGGAAAAGTGCTAAGTTGATTGGCTACTGGATTGCTTTTGGATGCGCGGCGAATTTCCGCGTCCTGTCTGCACGACTCATTTGCAAGAATGAAAGGTTAAGAATACCGTGTCATTCTTGCCGCACAAATTAGGAATCCCTAATATTTATGAAAAAACCGCCAATGTGACCATTCTCAGATTTCTGTCTGATTAAGTGACGTTTCAAGAACGTATACATATTGAAATAATAAAGTCGCAAATTTTCATATCACATCGTATTAGTATAAGGCATAAGGTACTAATATTTAATTTATGCTGATTATTGATTAATGTTAATTATATAGTTGATTAATAGAGTTGTTTTTTCTATGTATATACAGAATCGATTTAACAATGTCATTAATAATAGACACGATAGTGCAATGGAAATCGGCGGACAAAAGTATCGAGAAAATCGTACTAAAGCCGGCAATATATACTAAGAAACCAACAGAACGCTCCACGTGTAACATCCTTGTAGAGAAGCTAGATGTTAGAAGAGCATCAAACAAAGATTTGACAGAAAAATATCATACCAACATTCTTGATGGTGAGGGCGAAAAAGTGTTAGTCATAGGAGAAGCAAGCGCAGAAATTGATAGAAAGATTGAGAATGCAATTCAAATGATGAATATCCATGAAAGGAGTCTCGTTACCATCACTATGCCTGCAATAGAGTCAGAAGTTAATAGCGGATCTATAATAGTCGAGTTTCAGATTACATTGATAAAATGCGAGCGTAACAAACCAATCTGGGAGTTCAATGCAGAGGAGAAGTATAAAATAGCCCTAAGGTACAAAGAAAGAGGTATTGAATTGTTCAAAGACTCAAGAATTACAGATGCATTCTACAAATTCAGCAGAGCTTGCAAGATTCTGATAACATTAGAGCCAATACCAGACTTAGAATTAGACAAGCAATTAGAATCCAATATTAATAATCTGAGATTTATGCTATACAACAACATGGCTATGTGTCATCTGAGTCGAAAGAACTATAAACACACCATTACTCTATGTACTAAAGTACTGGATAAGGATAAGAATAATGTTAAAGCTTTATATAGAAGAGGAGTGGCATATGGAAATATGAATAATAATGAAAAGGCTGTAGCAGATATGAAGGAAGTACTTACCTTAGAGCCTAATAATAACGCAGCAATAGAGCAGTTTAATATTTATAACACCAAATTACAGGAATCAATTCAGAGGAGCAATGATATGGTGAAAAAAATGTTTAAGACTTATTAATAAATTTTAAATATTGTAAGTATACATATTTGTTTGCTAATCTCAGAAATAAAGTATATTTATTTCATAAATAGAAAAATATGTGAGCGTCTTATTTCTATTGACAATAACTTATAATTATCTTAATATTTTACAAGTATGTAATAGTGTATTTATATGGTGTAAAAAAATTAATAACATTAAACTAAAAAGTGTTAATTATATAACTTTTATTACAATATTAGTATACAATGGCTAGAAAACAAAAGTGCAGCAAGTATATGTGATGCACTCTTAAAGTTTTTTTTATAATACAGAATTTTTGATTGAGGTAATTTTATCGATAGCCGCAATTATAAATTATTCAATGATGTGTTTATTCTTAACTACATCATAACTATATAAAATATGTAAGATATTATAAGTTTCTTTCATATAAATATCGGTATTTGTAAATGATTTGGACACTTGAATGCAGTTATTTAACTCTATTATTATATTATTTTTAATTATTTTATAAAATTGCACAAGAGCAACTATTCCAATACTAAAATTTCAGTTTATGTTAATTGGTGTTATGTACACTTATTTTACCTCAGTTTAAAGTATAATACTAAAATATATAGATATATAGTGGTTTAAATACTAATTGTAGTTGTTTATTATAAACTTGGATTAATATGTATGCTAGAATTAGTTATTTAGATAACTTACAAAATTAATAAAAACAAATTTCTATAAAATTAACAAAATTTAATATGTGACACAGAAGCTCTTGACAATCCAAAATGAAATTTAATGGCACCTTTATGACCATACATCTCTGCATAATTTTACTATTCTACATACAATCATCCTGTATAAAGCATAATGAGATGATACACACAAATATGATTATATTAATAATATGATGTTTATTCAGCTAAAAAAATAAATGTGTTAATTAAGAATATTTTTAGAGCTGCCTGTTTGATGACATTTAATATCTGTTAATAAAATTACAAGACAATTTACAAAAAGAAAACATTTAAAAAATTGGATATATTATGTTGCATAAAGCAGCAATTATGTTTAATTAATTAAACGTAAACGAAGTCACATTTTTCATGTACGTCTTTGTGAAATAAATATTTCAAGATTTCAAACACTTAAACAATTTATAATAATGTTGAAACCATCATATAGTACAATTCTCACTTTTGCAATTTCAAAGAATGTATAAATTATATATTTTTCAAAATAATAATATGTAGAATATGTTAGAATACTTATAATAATAATCATTTAATATAAAACTTTTTAAATCCAATATTGTCATTTATTAATGAAATTTGTGTATTTAGGAATAGTGTGAAATTCTATGCAAGTTATAAAAATAAACACTACTCCATCAAGTATATAATAGATCGAATATAAAGTATATTAATAATCGCTTGGCAAGAAACTTGTGTAGTGGAGTTTTAATATATGTATATGACAGATTTTATTACCGAAGTTACTCATTGAAAAAAATTCATGCAATACAAAGAAAAAGTTAATTTTTTATATACTTGTAAGTCGCTTTTAGATAAAAAAAATATGTGAATAATATCCTAAATCCAAGTATATAAATATAAAATATGTTAATAAGATCTCTCTGATAGTTTTATTCAATGAGCAATATAGGCAATAGAGTCCAGCATACCTATGACGCAAATTTGAGCACTATTAACACAGTGTGTTGGCAACATAAGAATTATATCTTAATCTCTTAAGTAGATTAATATAACATTGTACAACTACAAAATGTTGCATTTAATAAGATATACCATAGCAATATATATATTATATGGCGCACAAAAAATCTACTTCAGAGTAGTATTTTTATCACTTTTCCAAGCTATGTAAAATGTGAATAACATCATATATACATTCTTTCTTTTATTATTAAACAATAGCTTAGTACAGTAACTGATGTAGAGAATTTCTGGCACAAACAAAAAGCAAAATCTAATTTATTTTAGTCCAAACATATAAATAATATAAAATAATAAGAATATAATTGTGCAAAAACAAAATCCTGCATATAAAAAAAAATTTGCAAAATGCACTTTAAATGTAATGGATACAACAGAAAGGTTGCATGCACTTAGTGAAAAAGAAAACAAAAATTAGCATACATATAACTTATTTTCCTAACTGTTTATAATATGTTCACAAATGCACTTTTCTATTTTTTAACAGAATTAATTCGTGATAACTTTAAATATATATTAACATCCCCGTCATAAAACATTTTCAGATCAAGCTACAATAATGATATCTTTCACCAGTACAAGATTTTATTTTTATAACATCTTATATACCAAGGATATACTAGACAATACTAGCAATATCACGATTTCCATCAATCTAACACTGTTTCTTTTTCTTTTTTATAATTAGAATACATCATATATACATTCACAGTCATTTCAAATATGTTCAAACCATAATGTTTAATTCAGTTTAACTACTCACGGCGGTATGTCAAGAAATAACATCTTGTTAAATTTGATTATGCCACTTGTTGGTATTTGCACACAAGAATGCAATATTTCAATCCATTTGGACAATCGAGATATTATGGGAATGAAGTATTACGATAATTTAGCCTTGCCATTGGCAGTGACAGTGGCATTCAATGTTGAATTTGTTACCGCTATTTCAGCAGCCTGCGCCACTGCTACAGACACTGACTTCTCCACAAATTGTTGGTAGAGTGGCTTCATGAACTGAACAAATGTAAAAATAATTTTTTCCATTATTCTTTCCTGCATAATTTTACAATAGTTATAAGTGATTTTGCGCAATTAAGATTTTGTACTTTTTTTGCAAGTGTCGGAATTTAAAATTATTTTTCAACTTTAAAGTGTAGCACTTTATGGAATTTAATGCAACACATGAAAGAAGTTTTAATAGTTACACAAAAGTATTATAATTCTTCGGTTAGAATCATGATTGGAATAATGTTTGCATAGAAAAGTATGGTCAATGTTAATACAGTTACAAATATTTGATTATATATGCAGCCAAATGCCATACCTTTTTGATATTTGTTCCTGTTAGCACTCGGCTTATGACAGGAATAGAAAAAAAAAGAACAATAAAAGAATGATATTAATGGTTGTATCATTAAATGGACTTTGAATAAGAAAAGAATTTGCGAAACATAGATGTGTAAATAACAGTATTGAGAAGCAATTCAAGATTGAAACAATTGATAAATTTAAAATTAAAGAGGGAGGAAAGCGTGGGATCATATATAGCCATGTCTACAAAGATCGAGATAAGTAAAATGACATATAGGTATTGCAAATACAATTATGACAATGGAAAGGATCAGGTATCTTAATTTATATGTTAATTTATAACAAAGATGAGCACATAGCCAGACCTGTTGCAATGAAAAAAATGCATTAATTATAATGTGAGTATCATACTAGATTCATGTTAATAGTATATACATATATTGTGATTGATAAGTGCTGCTTATATGTGATATATAAAACACATAAATTTTTGTATGTGATTTTAGTGTGCAGATAAATATCTTAATCTTGCTATTAATTGTAATTTTTTACATTATTTGCATTGTATTTCAAGTAAAAAGTATTCCAAATTAAATTTAAGAAAAACATGTACATTACACGTTTATAAAACTAATAAATAAGTAAAAAAATCTCTACCTTTCTCAAATATCGTTTTTCATTAGTACACTGCGAACAATATATAACTTTTATCAGAAAGATTTTATATCTATATGATAAACATTGACATATACAAAAGATAAGAAATTGAGTGATTAATTTCTAAGATATTCGTACTTACATTTTCCCATATTTTATTGGCTAAGTCATCTATTTGTGTGCCAATTTCTCTGAATTCTCCACTATATCTAAGTAATATTCAAACAAGAGATAGTAGTAAGAAATTGGTGCATGATAATAGAAAGTTGTCTCACACATACCTGTAAATAAATTCACATACCTTATATATGCCCATAAAACAAGAGTGAGGAGGCCGATACCCATAATAAGATTGCATATATTCGCTATTGTGTATAGACCAACAAGACCAAATATTCCGGAGAAAATATACATGGTAACGGCAATCGCGAAGAATACTGCCGGTGTTCGCGCTGCTTTAAAGATGTTTTTACTTTCGTTGTGTGCCTTGAATTGTGAGAAAGAGTCTTCCATGTCCTATATATATTGCAAAAAAAATATTTTGTTAAAATTAACATATACACACCCATCTTCAAAAGAAGAAAAAAAAATCTATATTTATTCTACCAAAAGTTATAGCTGATTAAATGCGCACACTTGCCTTAATCAATTTTTCCATATATATTTGACTGAATTCTTCTCCACCCATTTTTCGTTTATTTTGGAATTGGCGAAGAGCCGAGTCCACACAATGATGATGTTCTGATTCTAAGTGCGCGGTCGCTAAAAACGGTTTCCCTCCACCGCACACATTTTCCATCATCTGAAGGTACAAATCTTTAGCTTCAGCTACAGCTGTTAAGTTGTTAGCTTCTGCAGTAGCCTGTAAATAAAATCATTATTATAGATCAACGCGATTAAGATGTTTGCTTCTTCTTTTAATTGAACATTAAAATACATCGAAAACAAGAGAATAATAAAAAAAAAAAAAAAAAAGGAAACTGCAAATAAGAGAAAGTGCTAAACGTATACATACCACAAGCATACTTTTCGGTTCAGGAAGTTCATCTCCTTTGTAAAGATTGATGTAAAAGAGAAAAAAAAAAAAAAAAAAAAAAAGGAAACTGCAAATAAGAGAAAGTGCTAAACGTATACATACCACAAGCATACTTTTCGGTTCAGGAAGTTCATCTCCTTTGTAAAGATTGATGTAACTTTTAAAATATTCCAACAGATCTTTCGCTTTCACGACCTGACCGTTAATTTTCTTGGTCACCAGATTTTCTGGCGCTAATATCATTGGTATGAGCACTTTCAACTGTTTTTTGAACTCGGATTGTATTTCGGCTAATCTACCGTCGAATTTTGGATTCGTTGCAATTTCCAGACCGGGATGCGGCATAAGGAAACAAGATATATCCGAAAAACAGGACTTAATGTGCTTTCGTAAGCTCTGTAGTTCCGCATGTTGCCTGTCGGAGATTTCCAGTCTCTTGTCGAGCAATTTTTTTCCACCTTCCGCCCCATAATCAGCCTCATACGGGTAAACCCAATCCCTGATTAAAAACTGCAGTCTCTGAAACGGCGTACTATCAGAGCTCTCCAGCGCCAATCTACCGTACTCGGTGAATAGCTGTAGATGCTGAAGATCGTCCTCCTGGATGTTTTGCGACAGATTGTATATTTGCACGGAGGATAACATTGTGCTCAACGCGAATACCGTCGCGCAGTCCCGCACTGTGGATTGACTGTCGAATGCGCCTTGAGTGTCCATAAGAATCACTGCGATTTTCTCACCGTTCGCCAAGGTAGTAGGGTAAACCTTCGACCACATTAATATTCCCGTAGTGTCCCTTTCGGAACCGCCCCTCCACGAAAAACCGCTCAACGGTTCCTCTTCAGGACCCAACCAAGAATCAATATTATCGGTATTATGTTGCGTATACTGTTGATTTGCGTAAGACATATATTATGGTCGTTCGTAGTTATCCAAAGTTTCACACATCGATCGAGGAACGGACGAACATGAAATAATATAAACATGGGTAAATATCTGTGATTGCGTGCGTTGGTGTATTTTTTTAAATTTAGATATTACGCGCGTATACCTTGCTGTTCATGTAACGAAGAAAAAAGTCAAGAAGGAAACTTTTGCCTTTCCTAAAGGCACCTGCAACAGATACCACAACCACACTTCTATCTTTCACGTCGTCATGTAAAAGAATTTCGGATAATGCCTCTTCATCTAATTCGAAGGTATGATCTGGATGGGCAAGTACCACTTGGACAGGCCGCCCCTCGTTCGTTAATGTATCCAGCGTCTGTGTATTCATCGGCGCGATCCTTTCTATCCGATCGTTCCTCCCTAAATTATCTGTGACAAACATAAAATATCTTCATTGTAGATAATAATTGTAATATTAATTAATAATAATGTAAAGAAAAGAATTGTGTGGTGAGTTCTATTAGAACAATTAAAAGAAATTGTGTTTAATTTTATTAATGGGCATCGAAAACAAATTTTAATTTTTTAAGATATAAGTTTTAATTTGTTAAAGATATGATTTAATTAGTTATAAATACATTTTTTTATACATTATATTTAAATATGCAGCGATAAAATAGTCGTCGAAATGGATATTTGTCAATACTTGTTTATGCGAGTTTAGCTATTTATTATCAATTGCAAGCTATTTCGGTCTTAGCATTAGATAGATATGTATAGAATGTATATCAATGATAAATTCAATTTTTTAATTAACTGTAAGCAAGATTTAATGATAATATTAATGAATTTTGACACAACTTTTTTTAGGAGAATGACGCAACTTTGCTCAATGTTTAAAAGCTACATGGTGTAAATTGCAGATGTTGGATCACTGTCGGATTACGAGCCATTTTATTCGCCACCGTCTCGCTTTCATATCCCGTTTGTTCAAAAAGTTACAAAGGACAGGAGGAAGGATACGGCGAGGAAGTTATACACGGCCACGTGTATATAGGCCTTGACACCAGCAAGGCACGTAAACGGGCTTTCGGGGTGTAATTTATTGCACGTTGCACGAAAACAAACAGTCCAAGACCAACCCGCCGCCAGTTACGTGTCTAAAGCGCTGACCCGTGATGCGTGACTTGGATCAGCTGTGAGAGCGAATGGGAGATTTAAATGTCAGTGCGTGACGGCAAGTCGATCGGACAGATTCGCAAAAACTGAACGTAAATGACGAAGGATTGCCTCGTTAAATGCAGTCATGCATTTATCAGTTGCATTGCAAAGAGAAATGAGAGAAAGATATGATGTTTATCTGCGTTCAGATCAATATTGTTCTTATAAACTAAAAAAAAATAGAGAGAACGGGTTACTAGGATATACAAATTATTTAAAATATCTATATTATTAATATACAAGTTTTTAAATTGTACTATTTTTTTTTTTTTTTATAAATAGCATTACTAGATCCTTTCTTAAAGTGTTTTCTCTAATGAAAAAGACAAGTTTCTTCACTCGAAAAGATAATATGGAAAATATCATTGTGATACAAAGATGAAATATTACAGATTTCCAATATAATGGATGAGAAACGAAATAAGAAGCTTTCATCATTCTCTTAAGATTATACTACCACGTAGTATATTAACTTAATTGCTGTTATTCATATCACGAGGATAAATCAATATAATTTCATCATAAAAAAATATATCGGGAAAATAGTGCAGGCATACTCTATTTCATTTCTTATCTTCCGTGTAAGAAGAACAAATTAATATAATATTTACCAGAGTATATATAAAAATTCTTAAATCATTATTTGTGTGCATATTATATCGATTATTATATATTATTATTTTTGATACTGTTGCGATTTTCTTACGTACACGTTGGGATAACCACTTATGCGTGTCCATCACACATTATGAAATAAAAAACACTTTATAGTTCTTATTACACGATGATGACATTCCATTATTAAAGCATACTATAATCGCATGAAATGAGAACTGATTTTATTATATTTATTAGCGATATCGAAAGATATCATGAGAAACTGAAGTTTGACACGATAACCGATAGAGATATATTCTTCATATCTCTCTTCATTTGTCACACTTTTCTGCTTATTTAGAGATATAATAAAATTATCATATTGATAAGTGGGGGTAATATAAGCAACAGATTTGAGGTGATGAATGTGACTTAATGCAAAATATAATTCGAATAGAAAGGATATTTTAAAATATTCCACTTATATATTCTGAATTATTTACAGTTTTGTCAGAAACCTTGGTGTTATATCAAGTCATAATGTGTAATGTATTATTTCGCAATGTCATGGTCGATGTTTTTAACGACGGTGAATATTATGCTTTGTCATACTCAAGGTAACTCATTACAGATCAGCTTATATCTTCAACCTTCGCTCGTGGTTTTTCGATATTTTATATATGCCTGATGATTATTAACATTTTTTCTTTTGCATACATTGTGGATAATTATTTCAGCAATGAACACTGCAAAGATTCTGGACAAGATATGCAAAGGAAATGTTAAAAAAAAATGCTAAAAGGTCAAACAATTATTGTACTTCTTGTTAAATTATTTTAAAAAAAATTAATACTTTTATGTTATACATATATGTTTCATAATTAATAATCTTGTTGATCGTATATGTATATGTATTAGAATTTCTGTCGATTCACACATTTCCAGGAATATTCCGAATATTCATGATATTAAGCGTTTCATGTTAAGAACTATATATGGAATGTATCCGATATGCATTCAATTAACAAGCGTATTTCAATAAGGAGATCAAGTGGATCACGATGGGCATCTTCAATTATCAATAACGTGTCGACCAGTATATTCCGTTTTATATAGTTGGAATATATCTCTCTTTCTCTCTCTCTCTCCCGATAGAAAGCCTTAGACGATTATTTATTGCGAGCAACCGGCCAATTATACTCGTGCGAATGCCAATTCTACAGTCTGCCTTCTTCTCTCTTGCTTCTATTTCTACGAAAATCTTAATGCTATCGTCGTCGCTACGTAATTCACGCGCCATCCGATTATACGATCTCCATCTCCGATCTTCTCTATCTATTTCACGATCGCACGAATCATTACTGGGTTACAGTAATATAGTAAGTACAGGGCGAAGAATTTCTCATGTGGAACGAGACGGCAAGAAAAAAAGGGTACATCAGAATCTGAATTAACTACAATGTTGGCGCAACAGGAGAGAGGTAAGAAGAGAATTAACGATAAGAAAAATAATACATGTTATTGCGAATATCAACAAGCATCAGAATTATTTTATACACTTAAATGTTTATTTTGATTTTACGCCCAATTTGCGCTTTGCATGTTTATTATTAATATTTATTATGTAGATATTTTTTCTGTCACACGATTTGGCACAGATCAATTAATTTACAAAGATATGCGAATAAATCAAGCTGGTCGATAAATATTAAAAAGTTTTTCGTAAAGAAACACAGTATTAGTTAAATTAATTAATCAAAGAAAAGAAAGAGTAAACTCAAAGAAAATAAATACTTTGTATGTGCATGTAACTTGTAATGGATTCAACTCTAGATCATCATTAGAAATGATTCGATCATAACAGACAACGATACGGCGGGGAACAGTTATATTTAACAGGAAGTTCATATTACATTGATTGTTCGTGTGTCGTAACGAAAAATATTTTGCGGTTTGCAAGAAAATTCTAGACCTCCTGCGATTTAATAGCCAACTTTCACATTTTGCATCCTTTCCCGCGCGAATCGCGCCTGAAATCATACGCGGTCGAGATATTACGAGGACTCACGTGAATTCGAAAGAACAAGATGACTTTTGTCGCAAACGATTCCGAAAAGTTGTAAACTCAAGTCAAACCTCTTGCAAGAATTGCAGGAAGAACTCGGGTGATGCCCGAGAAAGCTGCTGGCCGCGCGAACTCATCGCAAAATCTGATCCAGCGAGAATTCTTGAGGAGTTACGGGTCGCTTTTGTTAGCTTTCTTTTGTACACAAAGGAAAACTATTTTACGAGAGGAAGAGAGGAGATGGAGGACTCTGCCGTGTACGCAAGAAGTGGGTCGTCGCTTCGAAATTCGTTTGGAATCGTTACATTTTTAGGAGGCTTTCAGCGGCACGGCGACAATTATAGATGATCAGCGACGCGATTTACGAAAGTAGAAAATAGGAAAACGAGTAGGCGAATAAATAAACGGTTTAAAGAGTGGTCAAGCTAATACATAGTCGAGACTAACAATAAGAAAAGCAGCTCACCCATATTTTCGGTTGTCTTATGCTGTTCTTCTCGTGGTATGCGGTTCACGTTCTCGTCAAGAGTCGTCATCGGGGCCTTCTCGGCTAAAAACATATTTTTAAACAATACAATTAGTCGTATTGTGATCCATAACATGTTTATGCTTTACATAAAAAATTATTTTATATTTATTATTAAAAACGATTACATAACATTACAAGTGAGATAAATTCCGATTTAAAATTCAAATGATGATTCTATACCAATGTTTATACCTTGAGATCTATAAGAAATTTAAAAGAAAAAACCTTTCAGGAGAGAGAGCATATTTATCGTAAAACAGATGTTTCGGTTAGCGTTTCCCAAAATTTTCGCGAAAATTTCAAGTCAATAGAAAATTAATATAGTTAAAAATTTTGATATTTTATTAATTCTTAATTAATGGCATTGTCACACAAACACACACACACATACAAAATAAAACAAAATTTGGGAAACACTGATTTAAAAATATAATTTCTCACGAATTAAACCAATCACACTGAATGAACCGACAAGACGGATCGCGTTTCCAAAAGATTGTCTGACAACTAACTCTGTCTCTGATGCGTTTCCGCAAAAGTGCTGCGTTGCGTGACATTTCCGAAATCAGAATTGCTTGTCGCTGTCACATACGCGACCTGCTGCGTCCTCGTTCTCGGCGGCCTCGCCGGTTCCTTCGGCCTGTCCGATCTCTCCAAGGTCGACCTTGACCCGGAAGGGTCGTCGAGCCGCTTTCGTCTCGGTTTTACGATATTCCTATCGGTCATACTTCCGGCTCTCACATTCGTCACAGAATCGACACGATATACACGGTTCGATAAAATCGAGACGAACAGGCGCGACGTATATATACATATAACGAGGAACACTCGGCCGTACGTCGCGTAGATGCACCGGGCATCCGCGATACTCGGGTACTAAGTTCGTGAAAACCGGACTAGAAATATCCCGGTCGACACTCCTTGAGTCGTGCGTGATGGCGAACCTCGCGAGTTGGCAGCATTTCACGAATGGCATGAGTGTCGTACGAGAGGCAGACCAGCAGAAACCGGCTGACACGGTCGCAGAAACGTAGTGGGGGGGCATTTGTACGCATATGAGCGCCGACAAGATTTTCTTCGAGATGTTATATATGCTTTAAAGTTTAACATTAAATTAAACATGCTACAATCCCATCACACACACACACACATACGAGAATTTCTCTCCTCTCTCTCTCTCTCTCTCGCTCTATTTAAAAATATTTTATAAATATTTTATTTTTTTCTGATTCTTTCCCCTCTCTCTCTTTTTCAAATAAATCTTGTATTTATAGTTGTTGATAAAGAAAAGAAAAAGTCTCTCTCTCTCTTATATTTTAATTTACAAGCGACGAGTGTAAATCTTATCAAGAATCTTTTTTTCTCTCTTTATACATTATAACGCTTTTTTGATTATTTTAAAAGGCGAGATGAAAGTGCCAGTTTTTTGATCTGTGGAAGCGTATATTCCTTTCGAATTTATGTTGGAAACCGGCAAGAAAAATTATACACAAAAAATTACGTAATGACGACGTCATTAACTTCTTTGCATTTAAGATATTACTTTACGTGCTGTCGAGTTCAGTTTCGCTCGACATATTGCGAATGATTTCATGACGCTCATTCAAAGAGAATTGTGGGATTAGTGATAAAAAAGAGTAAACGGTGAGACGATCAGACGTTCATGAGAGAGATAATTTAACGTTATATATTTCTAAATATTTTTCGATACTGTTGAGCGTTGGTTATAGTTACGAAAGAATAATTGTAAAATTGGTACGATTATTTTACGTAATTATGTAAATCTAACGAAAAAATAAAGAAGAAATAAAAAAGATTAATAATAAGATTAATATCTTGAAGCAACGTGTCCAACACTTTTTTCTTATCTTTATATAATATATACAGAATATTTAATTAAAATATAGCATAAATTCTCTCTACATACATATAAACATAAAGAATAATTCATAAAAATTATGCATTTATAATGGCATGGAAAAAGTTTTGAGACTGCACAAGCAGCATAAAAACTTGTAGTACCAGGGATAAAATTATCACTAATATTAATGATTTATAAAGAAATGGCTGTTTAGTCGTTAAGACTTATAGTGTGTAGCATTTTCTTCAGACAAATATTTTGTTGTATTTCTTGCATAATCATTTTAATACTAAAACAAGATCGTTCAATATGGAAAGAAAAAAAATAACTGATAATGTATTAGAAAAAAATTCTAATAACGATAAAAGTTTCAAATTCTAAATCAATCTGTCGTTTGCGTCGTATAAATAGAAAAGCACGATTTGGCAAAGTTTCATAGCTTCTGTGCAAAACGACTTATAAACACGATATGTAGGTTTTCCCAAATACAATACGGAAGATATAACGCGACCGTATCTTTGATAACAAAGATAAAAGTAGATTGTGTAATGATAGAGAAGATAATCGTCAAATCTATTAAAAATATTATTTAACAAAATAATGTACAAGTTTTCTTCATATTGTCATTTACAGATTTATCTCTCTCTCCACAGATGCTGACTTAAGTTCCCTCAATTTAAATAAGATTCTTTTGATAAGAAAAAATGTGTAAAATTAAAATAAAAACAAGTAACAAAATTCCTTTCCGACTTTTTATATAAAATAAAAATACTGAAAAAACTACGGAGGAAACATATAATAGCGAATTAGTTTCCGGCAGTTTAGATTAGAAGATTAGAAAATCTGCAATTAGTGATGTAACATAAAGATTAAATATGCACGGTGTTAACCAATATTATTTTCTGAACGTCATGCATGAAACCTTGAACGCTCTTGATCTTTGCATCATTTAATATGTTACTTTTTGCAGATATTTATGACATGAGATATGACGTACGTGGGCAGTTTTCTTGCATATATACTGTAGAAGAAATAACGAGCTTTGGTTTAATTTAGGAGCGGATGACACGAGTAATTTCGTACATTCGCATTTGCGAACGCCAACTGAGAAGAAGATCGTGCCATATGTCGCAAATATTGGCACTGTATCCAGAGATAACTTTCAAGTGATATCTCACAAATATCATAAGCAGAGATTATAAAAACTGCAGGTAAACAATCTGCTTTTAGTTTGGATACGTGTGTGTAAAGTTTTACATTCAAATATTATTCAAGTACTATTGTTTTATATATATATATAATAAATGTATAAAATTAAATAACATTATATTAGGGAAAATTTAATTACGCGATGTTCTGGAAGAAAATTTCAAACATTCTCATTTCTACAAAAAAACTCGTGTCAATTTTTAAGATATTAATATATCAAACTCCTTATTTATATTCAAATCGCGCAATCTATATATTAAAAAAGAATGATAAAATAAATAAATAATAGATAATAAAATAAAATAATTTAGATAATTCTTCGAAAGAGTTCAGCTCTGCCGTTTAATAAAACTCTCTTCGTTGATTGGAAAATACATCTCCACCTTAATATTACACGTCGTTCTACTTTACGCTATCGTCGTTGAATCGCGCTGCCGATTTACGAGGTGATATTGTCGAACAAACATAATCAAAATCAGTAGCTACACCAATAAGGATTTTAGATCGGTACCTGGTTTGCACGGGCGGTAAAATGAGTGGAGTTAACGTTCGCGACGAGCGTTGCACGCGGGGGAGGATTACGATGTGCTTCCGTGAGATATATTTATTTTAAGAAAGTGTATACCATTCCCTCTCCGAGCACACATCGTTTTGTACCGTTTGAACTTCTACATCGCGCGGAGGCAAATGTTTTACGACAAATGAGGGAGTTTATTGCGAGAAGGGAAAGCCGAAATGTGCGACGGGATAAAAGGATGAAACTGGTGAATGTGGGAGAAAGAGAGAGAGAGAGTAGAAATAAGAGATCGTCTCGTATAAACGAACGAGTGAGTTAAGATTATTGTGCCTCCTTCAGGCACATCTCGGTTATCGTTAATCTCGCCCCAGGCGTTATCCGGCACGCGGTTTATTTACGTTTCCATCTCCGCGTATATGCCGGGCATAACCGCGATTCCCGAAGTTTATGCAGCACCGTACGCAGTTCGGTTATGAGCTCTGCAACAGCCCGAAAGGTTCTTTCGCGTCTACGCAAGCACGATTTTGCAAGTTCCAGCCGGCAGGTCTTAAATCTTAATGGCAACGTTACGCCGAATGAAATAAGATACGGTACGAACGATAGCTCTCGATGCGAAACGTTATTCCATCATCTTACATAAACATTAACTTTCATCTAAAAAAAAAATCAATAAAAAGTTATCAGAGAGCTAAAAACTAAAGAGATCTAAAATTTAAAAATAACTAAAAAATCCATAAAAACTTTCATCGAAAAAGTTGCGCTGAAATGAAATAAAATATGGTACGAAAGATAGCTTTCGATGCGAAATGTTATTCCACATTCTTTTTACGTTACCAAACATTAACTTTTATCGATTCAAAAAGTCAAATAATTCAAGTCAACATATAATTTTTTCATTATTGGCTTTGCTATTTTAAAATATTATGTACAAAATGTGAGTCACAATTTTGATAAAGATTTTACAAGGGAATAAAATAGCGTTTGTGTATCGATCGAGAGCATATCAGGAATTTAATTATGAAAGATATATCGGTATTCAACATAATGCGTTTCACGCAACGACAGTGGTTTTATTGCAATTTCTCAGCTAATTGAATCGCATTGTATACACGCGGTGTCGCTTATAGAAATCAATATCCCTGAACTTCCCCCTTCTAAATGCCACGCTTTACGAAGTTACCGAGGATAGATATACCTCGTCGTCACGTGCAGTTGTATTTATGCTTGTTTTTACCGTGAACTTCCAGCTAAACCGCTCGCGTCATTACGCGAGAAAACTGCAGATAATACGGATCTCTCTCAAAAATAATGTCGCGATCGCATTTTGGGAGATTGCGATTATGCAACAATTATAAATTACGTTACGTAACATAAGTTCGCTTCTTTACTTTACAACGTAAATACCGCGTATTCAAAATTATGGTATAAGAAAAATGTTATCGCGCAGAAGAGGATATAAAAATTTTTAAAAAAGCTCTCGCGCTCTTTCTTCAGCGAGGATCATATAATTCGTGTTTTCGCTAGTATTGCCGAATCGCCGAATTAATGGCGCATGACCGATTGGCTTTCGATTCATCTGACTGAATAATGCAAGTCTAATTAGCAAAGTGCACAAACGCAGGAGAGCGCTCGATGAATCCAACTCGAACGGAGATATGTAGTTTACATGTTAAGTATGTATGCGCGTGTATTGACGAGAGAACGGGTATGTTTGTATTGACCTCGTATCGTCTGACCTCTCGTCAGTCAATTGACATCCTTCGTATAACTTTAATTTGTATCGTAGCTTGAATTGTCGATTCGAATAAAAATATAGATTGATACGCTGTCGTTTTCAAAAATTGTCGTTTTATCCGTGTGAAATATAAACAATATACTCATTATTTTCCCCCCTAAATTAGAATTGGAATTTTAAAGAACAAGATAAAAAGAATTATCTGATATTAAGAGGAGAAAAAGCACGGAATGTTAACAATAAATATAGTACAACTAGCAATGTACGTATTACTATTCAAAAAGTCGTGTATAACGCTAAAGTTATAAACGAATATAAAAGAAACTATATAGATATATAAAAAAGAAACAGAGAGAGATATATATCTCCAGAAAAAATCATTGCCTACATCTCTAAGAATCGTAGATGGTAAAATCAAGGCGTAGCACGCGTTAAAAACTTTTCCCATCGTCCGAATCTGACCGCAACTCTAACTACGTCTTGCTACGTCTATAGAAAAAGAATGATGCCTCATCGTAGTTACGAGTCTGTATAAATGGACAGCAAACTACAAGCAGGAATCAGCTTCAATTAACTCGGTGTATTGTCTCGGGTCCCGGTTGCAGCACGAGCCGGGTGTAATGTCGGACTTACGCTTAATTTATCGCGGGCGGCTCAGAAATTTATTGTGAGGCGTTGTATGTTTCCGTTCGACGATGGACCCGTCGTAAACTATCGGGAAAGTGAGACCGGTCTCGTTTCCATCGGACGTGCATACACGGCGCGCGTGGCACGCAAAGCTATCGATGCTATTCAATAAAACACGCGCCACGTCGGGTTGAATAGGCGCTCCAATATGCGACTCTCATTTCCAATCCCGGAACAGCAATATGTGTTTATATATGTGTGTGTGTGTGTGTGTGTGTATGTGTGTATGTATGGATATTTGCGTGTAACGCGCGCCCATTGCGTTGCATCGCTTTGGGGCGCGCTTTTCCCATTCGACATTGTCGCGCGGAGAAAGAGAGGGAGAGAGAGAGAGAAATATTTCATTTAATACGGAATAATATTACGACTTCCTGCTGTGAGGCATTACGCTGCTAACAAGAGAAAGAGAAAACCGGATTTCTGTATCGTGAAAACGAGTTCGCTAATTTTCCAACGAAAAATGAAAAACACGAATGTATATCGAGCGCCGTGAATCGTCACCGACATTCTGATTCTGAAAAAAGCAACTTTGTTATAATATACGTCCTCCATATAGTCCTCGCGTTCTCTTTCCGTTCTTCCCGTTGTTTATCGCCCTTTGATACTTTTAATAACGGAAATCAGATCACTTGATCCGTAGTGAAATATGTTGAAAGCTCTTACTCTTCCCCCTTCGCGTTCTATTTTATCATATTTTTTTATTAACCCGGTAGATATGTTGTTGCTAGCGATAAAACGACATATCAAGAAACAACATTTCTTTCCTACCATTTATAGTTGAGCGAGATTAAAACGACGAGATTCAAGAACGTTGAATGAAAAATGGGATTATATAAGCTGTTTGTGGTCTGATCTTGTAAGTAATGCTAATGAATACGTAAGTGATGTAGCTAAATTATATTGCTTTTAAGAACATACTGTTAGAATTGCAGTCTCATCTGTGATTACGCAATTAATTTAAGCGCGATCATAATTAATAGGCAATTTTTTTATATTCTAATATTCTTATAATAAACAAGATTTGAATCGTCAATCAGAAAAAAGTTTTTAAATATGTAGACATAAATTTGCAAAGCAGATTCTCTGACGATGAGTAATCGATTTAATTCTTGTAAACTGAAAAAAAAAGATTGTTAATTTGACTAAATCCGTTCAACTAATTACCATTTTTTAAATTGAAATATTTATATATTTAAGTCAAATACGACATATTAAATCTAACATGACGTATATTTGACTTAAATATATAAATATTTCAATTTAAAAAATGGTAATTAGTTGAACGGATTTATTTGTTAACAATTTTTTTTTTCAGTGTACACATATATCTCTATCGTATTTTTTCCCCCAAAGTCGCTAAGACATACAGGTAAATGTAAATGCGATGTAAGCGGAAACGAATGGAAAGTTACAACAATGCAATTCAGCATTCTTTCATCGACCGTGTCGATTTCCTTGTTCCGCTCTGGCTCTAACATTGTGTTCGTTATATTTAAAGTTTCATCCAATGCAATCATTCATCGGAATGATAAAAGAGAAACTGGATATAAGATACTCGCGCTTATATGACAACAATATCATCGGTTGCGCGTCATTCTATTATGCGAGTATTACATTATAACCTCTACAAGAGTGACGTTCACATCTCTCGACGTCACGCGACGTATCAATCCGAGACACTAATGTTTTTTAATTACACTCAACAGACATTCGCGGTTGTACAACCTACGCGTTCTTTGTCCTTCGCACGCATTCTGTCTTCGTCGCTCACCTTTCTCTCCTTATCTCGTTTTACGTATTTATGTATTGCACAATCGTATCGATCGAACCATGCAATATCGGAAATAAATTCTACCGGGCACGAGGGAGTCGAGCGGCGAGCCGGGAATCGAGTCGAGGAGGAATCGGCGTCGACAAAGTGTCAAACAGTCGCGAGGCATGGACGGCTCGTCACGTCGCGCGGCCGTTCACCGAACAGCTGGCTCGCGTCCGAAACGCGACGAATTCGTCCTTTTTTCGCGATTTCAATGACAACGCACGCTCATTAGATGTCGCGTAGCCCCTCGTACCTGGCGAAATGACGAAAATTCAAGCGAAATACTCACCCACATAAGAGCTGCCGTGATCGCCGTTCTGTTTATGTTGTCCAACGTCCGCCATATTGTGCTGCGTGTGACGTCACGTCCACGACTGCGCGCCACCGTCATCTCTCGTTGCTCCCCGGGTGCGTTCGAAAATTAACTCGTCGGATAGAGTAGGGCTTGATTGACCAATCAGGACAAAGGAGCGAAGATGTTCCGATTGGTCGATCAAAGTTACTCTGCTTCGACGATGGATTTTCGAACGCAATCGTACTCTACGACGTGAATTCGTTCTTCCCGCCTCATTCGATCGTTGTAGTTTATATGGCGTGTACGACCGGCGTTCGAACTGCGTTGATCGTCAATCGCGGCTGTATTTTGTGTAACGAAGGTAGGAGAGAAATACATCTCTGCGATATTAATAATCTTTAATAACGCATGATTTTGTATTCGACGCAGATCGATAGTATTTGAAAATAATTTCGTTTAGAAACGACTCTAGGATAAGCTGTACGTTATACAGTTATTCGCTCCAGAGAGTGCTAATTGATCGATAAATATATTCATATATTTCACATTTTAATGCGTTTTTACAAAAGAATTATATTAAAATTCTCTGTTAATTGATAAAGTTTCAAGTTAACTTTGAATCTAAATTATTCCGATACATAGATTCGAATTGTAAAAACAATGATAACATATTTTTTATATAATAACTGGGTTTAAACACCGCTTGTATATTGGCGATCATGATTTAAATTTTTTGTCGCAAAATCAATTTTATTTCGTCTTCGGCAAACCGGGAATATGAGAAGAAAGATATACCCTCGACTCGGTTTAAATTTAATATATTTAATAATCGGCATCAGAGTGAAGTATAACGCGTTCTTAGTCTCGCGAGTTCCATTTAAGAAAATATCGATCACATTGACTTGGCCTTGAAAAGGTCACTCAAGGTCAAGTCCATATTTTCATCATGTGACCCCCTCTGAACCCTACAACTTTTGTATAAAACATTTTTTTCCATCTTGCTTATTTTACGAGATATTTGCGTGCGTTGATTAAAATGACTCACCCTGTATATATATAATTATAGCATGTTGTTACGAGATACGTTACTTCATCTACAATATACAACCTTTTATCGAATTGGCGGCAATCTGTCGAACCGAACATACATCATTCAGAGATACCTTTACACGTGCAATGACCGTGATTGCGTCGTAGATAAGTCGATTCAATGTAACGTTTGACTACGTTTGACGTTCCTACGAGAAGAGTCCGTGCAATTGTTTAACCTTGCTGACTAATCGAATGTAAGGTCGCACAAATATACCCATCGAGCTCGAAGTTCACTCGTTTTCTCGCGGCGCTTTTACAGCATCCATGAAAGTTCCTCGCGTTCCAAAAATTACGTCATCCACTTTTTGACAGGATCTCTTATTTACTCGTTCCTCTCGCGCGCGTAAGCACGATATTTATAGATACTTGCGTCGGCGAACACGCAATATCATCGGTTGCGCGTCATTCTATTATGCGAGTATTACATTATAACCTCTACAAGAGTGACGTTCACATCTCTCGACGTCACGCGACGTGTCAATCCAAAACACTAATGTTTTTTAATTACACTCGACAGACATTCGCGGTTGTACAACCTACGCGTTCTTTGTCCTTCGCACGCATTCTGTCTTCGTCGCTCACCTTTCTCTCCTTATCTCGTTTTACGTATTTATGTATTGCACAATCGTATCGATCGAACCATGCAATATCGGAAATAAATTCTACCGGGCACGAGGGAGTCGAGCGGCGAGCCGGGAATCGAGTCGAGGAGGAATCGGCGTCGACAAAGTGTCAAACAGTCGCGAGGCATGGACGGCTCGTCACGTCGCGCGGCCGTTCACCGAACAGCTGGCTCGCGTCCGAAACGCGACGAATTCGTCCTTCTTTCGCGATTTCAATGACAGCGCACGCTCATTAGATGTCGCGTAGCCCCTCGTACCCGGCGAAATGATGAAAATTCAAGCGAAATACTCACCCACATACGAGCTGCCGTGATCGCCGTTCTGTTCGTCGTTCGTTCGATGAGACGAGATGCGCCCTACCGACAGCGGCCCGTGTTGTGTTATGCGCGCCGACGATCGCGACACGCGAGCAGCCAGTTGGTCGAAATGGTCGACCACGAATGGTTGGTAAACAAATCTCGGGAAGAGGCGAATACGCGCTGAGCGACGAGAGGAGGTGCGAAAAACTGACACAATCGACGAGAGAAATGACAATACTAAACGATCGCACGACGATCGTGTACGAAATCAAGTGTTCTCGTGACGTATAAGGAGCGAAAATTCAAAACGACTGAAATCGAAGGGAAGAGGTGATACGCGTAGCGATCAGCAGGGTATATATTGTTCGCGATCGCGTTACACATTTCGCGTCGTGTGTCGCCATAGTTATAAACGTAGCGCGCCTTTTCGAGCGTTCGCGTATTTGCAGACTCGCCGCGTGACGTTGCGGGGTGTCGCACGGCTATACGTTATATATACGTGTGTGTTGTAACGTGTCGCGATGTAGTGTCTTTCGCGCGCGACGAGAGGCGCATTTTTCGTATAACGCGTTTAATCCCACTATTACCAACTTGATTTCGCGCTCGCACGTGACTCGGTGGACTGATCCGCGCTGTGACGCGAGCGTAGAAGTTCGGCGCGGCGCCGCCGCCGCTGGCCCTTTAAATCGCCCGGGGCATTTCGTCCTCCCCTCCCGCCCTCCCCTCCTCTCCTCTACTCCGACGCGCGTGTGTATGGTGCCTCTCTGCGACCATTTAAATCCCACGAGGTCGACCGGTCGGTTCGTTTAAAGCCCATCATTGTGCAATCGTCGCACACCGGACTCACGACTGTCGCTCTCCCTCTCTCTCTCTCTCTCTCTCTTTTTCCGTCGCTCCCTCTCGCATTCTCACCTCGATGTCGCCGTCGTCGATGTTTTACGAGCGTTCTTACGATATCGCGAGCAGTCACGCGCGCGAGATCGTAAACTTCCCCCGCGGAGATTCACGGCGCGACGCTTGACTGGTGTTTTTTGGCAACGATCACCGGAACCTTATCCTTGCGCGCATCCCATCCTTGTGCTCTGCCTCGAGTTCTGCCGCAGCCCCGGCACCCCGAAGAATTATGTAACGCCTGTCGTGGAGCCGCCGACCACTGAACCAGCCCGCCCGGCTCGGAATGCGGGATCCCTTCGCAGTTTTTGGCGAGACGTGTTTGGCTTCGTGAGTACCAGAGTCTTTGTTTCCCTCTCTTGGCCGCCGTCAGCGCCGGCGCGCCCGCTCTGGATCCCGCCGTGGATTCTGCTCTTCTCCCCACGCCGGAGCTGACTGCATTTTATTCGAAATTAATCTTTAGATACCGAGCGTATACACTTGTTTTTATGTTATCTCCGATGGAATATTTTACGCGACGAGTATGTTTTCCATCAATACCCGAAACGCGTACGTTTCTTAATTTATAATAATTAAAAAACAAACTTAAATAATTTATATGGGATATATATTGGAAATGTTAAAATTATATTAAATTATTAAAATTTTTTAAAGTATCTATGAAATGTGACAGATAAAACACATGGTATAATTTTACGTATCGCTCTATAATTTATGCTTGGTATTAAGAATTAATTTTGGAATGAAAAGAGAGAAAATGATTTATTTGAAGATTAAATTGCATAAATCAATAAATGATCGAGAAAATGTGTAAATAATGTGATTTTTTTATTAAAAAGTATTGCATATTTTTTTGAGAAAAACAATAATCTGAAGTATAATTGTAAGTTTGTTTATTCGTGTTTTTGTAATTTTTTTTAACGAGGATCATTTGATATCTCGAAACAATTTTTCTCATTAAAATTTTAAGCATTATAAATGTAAATTAATATTTTCTATGCCAAAAATTTATGTAAATAAATTAACGCGTTAATTCTCATATATTTGATATGAAATTATAAACTAATACACATCAGCCAAATATTAGAAATATCAAGAGCTAATCGATGATTCATTTTCTCGATCATGCGTCATAAAATGATTTTTAATGAATTTGTAATTGTTGACGTGATGCGCGTAGTTAGCGTTGCTCTTGGCAAAATTCCGATAAAACGAGCGGAATTTTAGTAGATGCATCTTTGCGTGCACGTAGAATATAACTAGTTTTAGGAGAGATATTTTCTCGCTGTTCGCGTATATCTATTTGCGAATAATCACCGTGTATGATACCTTTGCTCTTTTCGAGATTTTTTGCTTTGAGCAACGCCGCGTAAGAAGAGTAAAAACCATAAAATTGACATCTCGTATACTTTGACACCATATTGCGATTCGAGGAAAATATAGCAAAAACTATGAGCGCCAAAGTTCGCAGTAATTTAACGTTAACCTTTTACGAGCGGTTAATTATATTCTAATTACACAAACATATTTTTGCCTTGTTTGTATCACATAAACGTATCTATGAATTATTAACACCATTATTAAGTATCTTCGAATTATTTCATATTTCGTTGTTACAGTCTAGAAATATCTGTTGAACTGCGATTGAACTGCCATTTAGTATATCATTTGTAATTCTTAAGAGTGATAATTAATTGCAACATCTTATGTTTTTCTTTTTTTTTTTTTTAAATAGATACGTTATCAAATATAAGAAACTTATTTTTCGTGAGCATAACATTCCAATCATCTATGACTAAGTAGCTTGTGTTATTTTTTTACAAGACTCCTATCTATAATATATATTCCCTACATACACGATTATAAGTTTATTTCTTAATTTATTTATTAAGAGAAATGTGATAACTTATACTCTCTACGAATAGCATAAATTATTTATTTTAATAGTTCAATCCTAAGTTATTTCCAATCAAACCGTTCAATTATAAACCATGCATGTGTATTATGATCACATATATGTGCTTCGCGATGTATTATTTTTTATCTTATCTCACGAGCGCGTGCAACAATTATTATTGAACGAAGCCACTTTAATGCCGTAAATAAGAGCGGCTTTTTGCGCACCAATAAAAAGATATCATGTCAGCATAGCTGCGGTCGCTTGTAAGATCGCTTTTGTAATTACGATCACGTTAAAATCTGCGAGAGCTCGCGGAGATGCCAAATGTTGTGCCTAATAGATTCCCGTTGCCAAGGAGTACCAGCCAGCTGTGGTATCAATTTATTAATCTGACTTCTCTCTGAGAAACGGGGTCAGAGCCCGATTCGCATATTTTTCCAAAGGATAATTGGTTAATCTTGCGGCAGAATTTCCTATTTAGATACATAACTAAATTTGATGTGCAGATATTAATTGAGATAGATTATATCGGTGTATATTATTGATTTTATCAAAACTAAATAAATTTTTTTTTACGACCGTTGCGTGGACGGCGATTCGAAATATAATGCGAATCGATCTCTAACATTCGCGCAGGAAACCGATCCGTGAGTTATTACGTTGGCATTTCCCCCCCGCGCTATTTATAGCTAGTGATATTTGTTTATATTTGTCCTATAAAATACGGCGCGATGGTGAAAGCTCTATCGGCAGTCGACGCACGATGCATAGTCGTAATGAAAAGCCGTGCGCCATTAGTCCGCGTGTCGCGGCCGGAAATGGATGGCTATTTTTATTTTTTTTTTCCCACAAAAATCGCGTGACGTTGCTGCTCGTCATGTGCATGTGCAGCGTTTCTGATATCGTCACTGAACGACTGCATGTAAAATGCCGCCATACTCGTTCTCGCGACGTGCATTTCGTGCGAGTGAGCGCCGTGAAATTCGATTGAACGCGTGCCACGTGTAATGTATCATCTTTCCGTTTTATTCTCCATTAGAAATTTATTCTACATATATCTTAAATATTGATTTAATCCCGTGTACGTCACACATGGAGATATAAATATTGTTTAAATAAGTTTTGAGGTATTTTTGGCGAAATAAAATTAAAATGATGTAATTAACAGTTAGACAAATTGTACACAATCCAATCTCGGAGAAATTAATTCTTTTCAATTAAATGTTTAATAACTCTGAAAACTTGAAACAAACAAACAATTTTTCATCATGCAATCTCGCTGTAAATGCAGTGTGAAATTATCGTTCTTATTATTTTACTACGTAGCATATTTTCACAAACAGAGCAAGCAGTTTTGTCCTTGACTTTTTTCTTTCTCTCTTTCTTGCGTTCACTGATCCTTTAACCGAAAACGCCGAACTCGCCAACACGCGCGGCAGAAAATCGAGTATCGATGTGGTCGGAGTAATTACTCGCGCGCTTAATTACTCTGCCAAGTTTTTTACGTCTGGTATAGCGCGCGCGTTTGCGTTTTATTCTCGGGAACTTGGAAAACGTATTCTTTCTGCACATCCAAATGCTTTTCCGCGCGCTTCGATCCTTCCACTTACGGACTCATCAATCTCACCGGCTTGGTTTCCCGACGCATGGCCACGATCTCTCATTTCCAACAGTCTTATTCCGTCTTATTCTCCTTCTTCCGCGACTGTTTCGCTCGCGTTATGTAAGCCCGCATATCATATCTCATATATGTCGCAGCGTATCTCGCATTACCGCAGAATTCATTGACATTCGTCGGTAAATATATTCATTTCTTTATATTCACGTATACAGTGTCTTATATCCGAGGTCTCATTTTAAATTATACAATATTGTTTAAGATATTTTTATAGTGTTACAAAAATTTACTTATAATTTTTTGAATATATTTTCTCTAAATACGATTTAATGTAATAAATTAAAATTTTGGAGGAAGATACAAATTGTACACATTTTTTTCGAAATAGTTTTGTTATAATAAATTTAAATATTATATATCGAAATTAATTACATTAATACAATTTTATACAGCATTTTATAAATATATTTTGAAGGATAAAATGGTTCTCTCTCTAAAAACGTTGAAGTTTGATGAAATTTCATGTTTGCTATATTTTGTTTGACGTTTTGCTATTACCATATGATTTCCGCTAGATGCGAGTGCGTGTTTATAAATGGTTTAATAATGTTAATGACTTCCTGAGCCGTCATAAATTAAATATTTTTACTCGTTGATACTATTAACGCATCTTAATGTCGGTTTCAGTATTATTTGCAAGATTTACAGATTTTCTGTTTTCTTTTTTTTGCATTCATGATTATTGTATCTTATAACTTATAATATAGATAATATTTAAATTAATTAATCTTTCTTGAACGTTAGAGAAAAAAAATTCTTAATTTAATTTATATATTTATTAATGAATATATTTAAATCGCTAAGGATATATCTCACCTCTTTACGATTATTATCTAGCACAGGTCGATGTATGTATAAAAATGCGCGCTCTAATTAGGATCCAATAATGGTATAGCTATGTATTGTATTTTCGTGCATATCGATCGAGCTGTTAACTTGCAATTAATGTCATGTGTTCGTATCGTGGAATTTTCCACATTTCCCAAGAGACTTTAATTTTGCGGTGACTGTTCGCGTCGTACTTCCCTTCCACTGTGCATGATTAAGTTTCCCGCGTATGTATACACGTGTAACCTAATTTTTAGATTATGCATTAGATTAAATTTATACACACAGTTTATACTTTTAGATTTTTATATAAATTTTCTGGTATCTCAAATTGCTTCGTAAACATTCGCTTGTAAAACTTTTTGTAGAGTCGAAAATCCATAAATCTCGTTCTTTAGTTTGCGTCTAACAGAAATAAACGATAGCATATGTATAATACAATAATATAGCAGCGGTATAAAGATTTATGCAACATTCTTGTATGCGCGTCCTCGAAAAATTACATTAATATTGCATGTCATTCGGGATTTTATCGGATACTATATTTATAACTGGCTGCCGCGCGCCTATATCTTCCATGAGGTAATTGAATGTCTATATCTTCGGAAAAGTCCGCGGTCCATTCGTAAATCGATATATTTCGTGTTTGTGACAGGTGCCGGCTCGTCTACGTAAATTTGTCATGTCCGTCTAAAGCTCCAAAAATAAGCTACTTCCACTACTCTGTCGGCCTCGGCTTATATCGTAACCCTTTGACTCGATACTCGCATCGCATTTCTTTCATTAGAAAGCATTCATATCGAGATCAAAGTGTATGTCAATTAAAGTTTTTAAAAATATAAATGATTAGCTTACAAAGAATTATTTTATAACAGAGAAGAAAATATTTAAGTCTTTTCTTTCTTGTAAGAAGAAAATATTTTA